CCATCAAAAGCTTTAAAATCAGGGGCTGGGGAGATGGCTCAGTGGAATAAACGTTTTCCTGGCAAGCACAAGGGCCTGAGTTCAATCCCCGGTTCTGCCAAAAAAAAAAAAAAAAAAAACTGGGGTGGGGAGGGGACTGCATCGGTACTGAAAGCACAGATCTTTTTGGTCATTATTCTTTAAACAATCCAGTATAACAACTGTTTATATGTATTAGGTATTTATATTGTATTAAATATTACAGATAACCCAGTGATGATTTTAAGTACTAGTTCTCACCTTTTTGGGGGGCACCAGGGACTGGTTTTGTTGCTGACAATTTTTCATGAGAGACAGGGGATTTGTTTCAAGATGATCCAAAGAGTTTTCAGCCAAGATTCACAGGATGCACACAGTTCACAATGAAACTTGTGCTCCTTCAAAAATCTGGCACTGCTGTGGACCTGACAAGAGGTGGCGCTCACGCAGTGATGCAAGCCCTGGGGATCAGCTGAGCTCACTGGGACTGCTGCTCACCTTCTTCTGGGTGGCCCAGTTCTGAACAGGCCACAGACTTGACACTGGTCACTGGCTCTGGGATTCAGCACCGTGATTTAAAGGGCACAGTAAGATGTAAGTGAATAATATGCTGATACTCCACCATTTTATATGCGCTGACTTGAGCACCTATAGATGTGAATATCCAGTGGGCTTATGGATCCAGTTACCCATGGTACTGAGAGACAACAGTGTGCCCCAGAGCATCCTGCCTGCTCTGATTTGGGGTTGCTTTGTCCTCCAAGGATCCATGTAATTAGAGGCTTTGTCCCAAGGGTGAAGCTATTGGGAAGGGCAGCACCTGGGAGACGTGGGGCCAAGTGGAAGGTCCGAAGTCATCGAGGGCACACCCTCTGAAAGGGTTAGGGTAGCTCTTTGGAAGTTCTCTCTAGACATTTGCTCTGGAAGGCTATGCGTGGCCTCCCCCAGCCCTCTTGCCTCCTGTGTCAGGATGCAGTGTCTTGTTTCTGTGCACATCTCCACACTGCTAATCTGCCACAGTGCGGGAGGCTGAAGGGCCCTGGCCTGAGCAGAGGCAAGCACTGTACCCCTGCGTGCACACAGCTGTTGGCCTAAGGAAACTTATTTTCTTTTCAAAAGTTACTAAGTTGAGCATTTGTTATAATAATGAAAAGCTAAGCAATCTAATGTCATACATATAATTTTATGTCAATTTTAAAAAACTAGAAATGAAGACTTGTTAGAAATTGGGCAGTGATAATTAAATGTTACTCTGTGCTTATTTTCCTAGCTTCTCACGATTTCTGTTGAAGAATACAGTGAGCGCAAATAGATTGTGTCTATTGTTATTTTTACTACTATTGCTTTAAGTCCACAGGTTTGATGTATAGCTCTCATACACTGAATGATAGACTCATTTGTGTGTGTGTTGCGTGTGTGTGTGTGTGTGTGTGTGTTTCTTTTCAATTTTAGAAACTAAGGATTTGTGGGATTGAGAAAGGGGAAAAAGGAAATGAATAGCAGGAAAAGAACTAATGGTTTGTATGGTAATTTTAGCCAACTTGCTCTCAGAGGAAGTGTTCTGAGTGACTTCATATCCTTCCCACCACCTCCCATCTCTAACATGCAGAGTAGATTTTTTAGATTCCTTAAGGCACTGGGGATCTAATCAAATGAAAAAGTGTGGAGAGTCTTGTCAGGAGGAAAAACACAAATGGAGCTGGTCCTATTGTGTTTTGGAAGTAGCAGGAGGTGGCGTCATGAAGGGAGCTGAAGCCTGTCTTCCCCTCTGCAGTAGGATCACAGTGGCTTCTCTGAAGGCACCGTAAGAGCTCTGACTCCAACATGCCAGTCAGGGCTGAGGAAACTGTGGAGCAATGACAGGACCTGGGATGCCGCTGGTGCACAGCAAGCTGCTTTCACAAAGTAAAGGCTGATTTGGCATGTGACCTCCGTTTACTCACCTGTGACTGAAGCAGAGTCAAGTCGGATGCCTGTGATTCCAGGTTGACTGATGCTCTGTCAGATGCCCTGTGGCTTTGGTATGTGAGCTCTGTCAGGAAGCATCAGCTGTGACCTGAGGCTCCTTCTGCCTGCTCTGAGCATTCATGAACTCAGTGAGTACAGCACAGTGTGAGCCCCAGCAGTGAGCTAAGGCCTGGGAATGCCCAGCAGAAGGGACCTGGCCCTGCCTTCTACAGCTCATGACTGAAAAGAAGAAAATCTTATCTGGGTGGAAGACTCAACACCACTGCCACTCTCAGTGCCCCTTTTAGAAGCCATGGCATCAATGGTCCCATTGGGTTGGAAGCTTCTCTGAACTTCTCTTAGTAAGAAATCCTGGTTCCTCTCCTCCCTCCCTGAGGACCAAGTGTATTCTCAATCCAGTCATGACATTATCAAGACATGTCTAGCATGAGCCATCTGTATTGGTGCAGTCAGTTAAGGCAAGAAGGCTCTAGGGAATGCTGCAATCTCTGCCACGCTGAGCCAAACAGTAAAGGTGTCCGTGTCAAATCCACACCTTCAAGTAACCCATAATAAGGTGACTTCCCAGGGATTTTGTCATTATCCCCTTTGAGGAAGCTCAGCTGCAGCCTCTGCAGCTCTGTGTTCATGTTTAGCACTTGATCACTTTTGCTCTGCACAGTAGCAGCACTGGAGCTACTGGACTCATCAGTGCCAGCCTTCTCCTGGCTCAGATGCTTTGGGCTCCTCTGCCCTTATTGGGAAGTCTTGGAGACTTCACACAGTGTCTCAAAATCTCACCCTGTCAGAAGTAGCTTTTGTTGTTTCAAGCAAATAGTACCAGTGCTAATTGCTTGTTCCTGGAAATGTGGTCCCCAGGCCAGCAGCGTGGCTATTCTGAGTACCTGGAGCTCAGTAACGACACAGAACCTAAGGCTCCTCCCCTGGCTTCACCCAATCACAGTCTGTACTTAAAGGCAATTTCCAGGTGATCTGTGTGCATTTCAAGCATTGAGCACTGCTTCAGCTGAAGTTGGGTGTCGCCGCCCTTAACAGCGGATGGCTGCCTCGTGGTCCAGTCTGGAGGGCTACCCAGGGACAGCTGGAAAGATAAGGTAGAGGGAGGGTCTCCACTTCTTCTAATTGCAAGTCATCAAGTGCTTGGGTAGCCAGGCTTCCTGTGAACAGATGGGTTTTGCAGCTGAAATATTCAATCTGGTAATTGTAATACTTCCATGAAGTATTGTCGATTTCTTTTTTTCCCAAATAAATTTTTTTATTTAAAGAATTTCATGTGATTTAGCACTCATTAAGGTCACTTTAATGAGGCTGTCTTCAAGGTAGCCTTTGTTAAAAGAACTGATGCTTGATCCAGTCATTCCATCAGCCCTGTGGTCTTACATCCAATTTCTTCCAACTATTTGCACTTTTGGAGCCTAGAATTTGAAATGTGCACAGTATTGGTATTTTGGCACATGATCTGGATTCTACATTATCCCCTAATCCTTTATTTCTTTTTAAAAATATACATAGTTTTATTAAACAAATTTTAAAAAACACAAAATGCGACATTCTTAAAAATCTAAAACTTGCTATTGGTACTAGTTCCTGCAAATTTGTTGTGCTACCATACACATAAAAGAAATCATAAAATATTTAGGAACATGTACCATCAAAAGCTTTAAAATCAGGGGCTGGGGAGATGGCTCAGTGGAATAAACGTTTTCCTGGCAAGCACAAGGGCCTGAGTTCAATCCCCGGTTCTGCCAAAAAAAAAAAAAAAAAGCTTTAAAATCTAACAGTATGCAGTAGCCCCTCAAAACGCTACAACCTGAATTCTGTAAAATAGCATTTTTTTTACAAAGAATTTTTCAGCTATAAAAAATCTGTACAGTTTTTATACTGAAGCTAATGTTGAGATTCACTTCAATTCATTTTTTTTTTTTTATTTTAGGGAAGGGTCTACAGAGTGTTCAGGGTCTTGCTACTAGATCGAACTCATAGTATTCTACCTGTTTACAGCCTCCTAAGACCTGGGATTATAAGCACGCAGTATCACACCCCGTCTCAACTGCCTTGTCAGGCTGCCTTGCAGGCCTGGGGATCAAACCCCTAACCTTCGGGCCTAAGGATTGCAGGTTCTTTAATCTACTGAGTTATTTGTCTGGCCCTTCAATTCACATTCATAGGAAACCAATTTCCTGAGTACACAAGTACTCCACATGCCATTATAGGACAGCCACTTATTCTTCATCTTCTTCCTCTTTCTTCTCTTCATCTTCAACCTCATCTTCTAGTTCATAATCATTTATTTCTAATATTGAAAGTCACCATTTTTCAGTCAGTGTTAGGCACATGTTACAGGCCTGTCACCACTGTAAACGTTTGCTGTGACGGGAACTTGACCTGTGTCTCAATTTAGCCACATTGACCAATTCTGGACACCAATCAGCAGTGCCCATTCTAGTCCAGTATTGTCGACTTCTATAGGTAATGATTTATGTTGTGCACATCTCCAGGAATTAAAAATAGAAGACACTCAGGCTGGGGAGATATCTTGGTGGTCTAAGCACCTGCCTGGCAACCACAAGGACCCAGGTTCAATCCCTGGAACTGCATACCAATACCTCATGGCCTGCCTGCCCCACACCATGCTGCCTGGAAACCAGGTATGGTGGTACATGCCAGTAATCCCAATGCTGGGGAGGCTGAGATGGGAGGATCACTGCAATTCTGAGCTGTGTAGTGAGACCCTGTACCAAGAGTCATAACTCTGGGTTGAAGTCATGGTGTCAATAGGGCTGCACTCATCTTGGGAGCCTGGAGAATTTGTTTCTTGCCCCTTGTGCTTCGCCGCTGCCAGCATGTAATGGTTTGTGGCTGCATCCCTCCACTTTGTGCCTCTACTGCTGTATCCTCTTCTGTATGCATCACTTTGCCCTCTGCCGCATTTCCGACAACACTGCTTATGGTTGTACTGGGACTCTCCTAGGTAGTTTGGCCCCAAAATCCTAAACTGACTCAATCTGCAAAGTCCTTTTCTGCCATATGAGGCACAATCCATGGGCTCTAGAAGTCATGGCCTGGATGTCTTTTGAGGTCCTTATTCAGCCTCCTGCACTTGGTAAAGTGCCACACTGGAGGCTAAGACAGTGTGTGTCCACAACCCTCTAGGCAAGGCCATCGGATGGTGGCGAAAATGTGGAGAAGTGTAATGGAGGAGGTAGAGGAAAGGGAAACGTTTCAAACCTTGAGAAATGCTATACTTCTCCCCCCTTTGCCTTTATGCTTCTTAATCTCTCATCCCTTCTGCATAGCAGGATGCTGGTCACTGACCTCGGAATCGAGGCCACTGTAAAGTACTTAGGCTGTGCTGAGGTAGAGCGGCAGTGATGAAGTGAGTCGGGTCACCCAGCTTCCCCCCAGCAGCCGAGCATCAGATAGCAGCACACAAATGCACACCAAGTGCGACTTTTACTTTTCAATAAAAAGTTGTTTGTATCATTTTCTTTTAAGACAAAAGATGTATGCTTTTTTTAACCAAAACCACAATATTCAGGTTTAATTGCAATGTCAGCACTTTGTGATAAGTAAAGTGGGTTCTGCGTTGTAGTTTAGGCATTCAAATGGTCTATCAGAGCTGGGTTAGATATTTTTATTTATTAACCTTTAACCCTTGTTAGTATTTACACACACACACACACACACACACACACACACACACACACAATGGCTCTATATCAGTGCTTGCTAATTAGGACCTGGTCTTTCCACTGGACTTTTGAACAAGCCCTGCTCATGTTTGCTGGGCCTGTGATTCAAAGAGCTCTGGACACACGCTCTGACTCTGCTCCTTGAGGAGCCTTGAGTGAGCTGCTGAGCATCAGGTTTTGCACCCGTGAAGCCGCTATCATAGCGCTGGCCTCGTAGACTTGCTGTGCTGATTCTCTGTGGTCATGTCTGTGAAGGTCCAGACCCGAGCTCTGCTCAGAGACTGAGGTTTGCATGCAGCGATCTGGCTCGCGTCTGTTGAATTCTGGGATTGTGCTGGAGTCTCATGCTCATAGTACAATGGAGACAGAGCCTAGATGCTGCCTTTCAGGAGTGAAGAGAGTGGAACAGAACTCGGGAAGGAATGGAGAGAAGTTGGTGGGAGGTAGATGTTGGTGGGAGGGGAGGGGAGGACTTCTTGTAGTAAAGACTGTGCAAACCCAGTCCTGAAGAGTGAGTGTATTCATCTTCTATGGGTTCACGGCAGATTACTGACAACTTGGAAACTTAAAGCAATGGAAATTGATTCTTACAGTTTTGGAGGCCACCAAGTCCAAAATGAAGGTGTCAGCAGGGAAGCTGTCACCTTCTAGGCTCTAGGGAGATTTCATTCCTTGTCTCTTTTAGCTTCTGGTGGCTCCAGGCTTCTCTTGCCATGGCTGCATCCTACCTTCTTCCCTCTGCCTTCCTGGGGCTCTCAGCTCGCCTCTCCTCCTCCCACGAGGACACTTCTCACTGGATTTAGAGTCTGCCTGGATAACTCAGAATGATTTTGTCTCAAGCTCTTTAAGTTAATTACATTTGCAAAGACCATTCCAAATAAGGTCCCAAGCCAGGTTCCTGATAAACATATCTTTAGGGGAGATTGGGAGCCTTGCAACCCACTACAGCAGGTATGGGGTAGCCAAGCAAAGACAGGCAGGAAGGGTTATTCTGGGAAAGGGCTTAGCACAGAGGAGGAGTCCAAGGAATGAAATGACTTTCTGATCTTGGGGAACCACAGTTCAGTGGTCTGACAAGATGATGAATGACAAAGAAGAGCACAGTGGACAGCGAATGAAGAGTCAGGCTACAGGGTAGGAGTGGCGGACTGGCTCCAGGAAGTTATGCTTCTTTATGGCAGAGTGGTTAGGTAACAGTGATGAAGTTCTGAGTGAGGGGTAGGGATAGGTTGGGTGTGTTTTACAGATAAAAACTTTAGGGCTTAGGGAATCACAGCAGAAAAAGAACTGGGAAGGTGATGGCTGAATTTGTGGTCCTGGAATTGACTTGATGGTAACTACTAACTGAGGTTGGAAAATAGAGGAAGAGAGGTCACTGGGAGATTGTAGGTGGGGAGAGAATATAGAGAGATGATTCGTTTCCTTTTGGCCATGCTGGTTTGAAGTTCACATGGAATTCTATGCCCACGAGACAAGTAAGGTGTGAAATTTAAGGTTAGGGATAAAAGAGACAAATCAGCCTGCACGTCAGGAGAGGCAATGGGTAGAAAGATCCTTAGGAAGGGCTTAAAGAAGAAGGTTTAGAGGGCCCAGAAAACTCAAGGGGAGAAAGTGGGTGAAGCACATCAATCAGGAAGGCTGATAGGAAGGAAGAGAAAGGGCAGGGCAGGGCAGGGCAGGGAAGGGAAGGGAAGGGAAGGGAAGGGGAAGGAGAGCAGGTAAGAGGCGGGGAGGGAGGAAAGGGATTGCTTAGAAGGCTGGTAACACTTGTAGGAGGAAGTGAAAATGACTTTAGGAAGGGGATGGTGGAGGGATCTTGGAAAGTCTAAACATCAGGGGAGTGAATATGGAGGTTGAACATCATCTTCTCCACAAGTTTTTGAAGAGTGTAGAAATACAGAAGCTCAGATGCTTTTTCCTTGATCTGGACCTGGAGGGGATGAGTGCCTCGTAGGGGATGAATTCAGACTGGTGTAAGAGAAGACTGTCCTTCTGGCCACTGCCAGCTGGAGATAATCAGGTGTGTCATGTACAGCTGCTCCTCTCAGCTGTAGTGACACAGACCAAGGCCCTAGTGGATGTTGGAAATCATGGCTAGCTAGTAATAAAATAGGATAAATATAGCAACATATTATAATAAAATCACCACCAGTACTATTCTTGATCTTTGCAGAAATTAGTAAGTACAGTATGGATTATTTGAGAGCAAGCACATTGATCTGACATTTGAGATGGCTTCTAAGTGACTAACAGGTGGGTAAGATATACAGTGTGAGTACGCTGGACAAAGGGCGAGTTACAACCCATCTTGGGTGGTATGGAGAGGGATGGGACAGGGCAGCAAGATCTCCCAGGCTGCTCAAAACAGGATGTAGTTTAAAACTTTTGAATTATTTATTTCTTTAAGTTTTCCTTACAGGTAACTAAAATCACAGAAAGGGTAAGGAGGACTCCTGCAGTCAGATGTGGGACATCCCTGACCCCGGTGCCTCACAGGACAGCAATGGTGTGGCCTCACTCACTTTCCCACAGCCAACAGTGACACTGGTCAGCGCACACAGCTTTTTGTACTGCCCAGGCACTGCATGTCTGCAGGCACTAAGGCAGCACACACGTACTCTCTCCAACAAGGGCGTGGGGATTGTGTTTGTTTTACTAATAAGAAAGTGGGAGCTTGGAGAATTCAAGGCCACTTGATTTCAGGGATATAACCATTGCTTTGCAAAACAGGGACCACATTCTCAATGTACCAGTAATCTTGTAGGTTTGTTCTTTTTTTTTTTTGTTTGTTTGTTTTTGGGGTTTGAACACAGGGACCTTGCACTGAGTTGCAGCCCCAGTCTTTTTAAATATTTTATTTTGAGGAATGTCTTGATAAGTTGCTATGTTGTTGAGGCTGTGTTTAAACTAGTAGTCTTCCTGCCTTAGTCTTGCACAGGGCCAGGATTATAGGTGGGCACAACCATGTCTGCTTGTTCTCCTTCTAAAAGCCCTCAAGGGTACAAGAAACTCAGCCATCAGGTATCTGAGCTAAATTCTCTCTTACTTTTTACATTTTTGATACTCTAGTTACATAGTAATGGTATCTGAATTCTGTGTACATTCTTGGGTCCCCTCCAAGCCTAGGATGATTAAAAAGAATCAAGAACCTACTTAGAATCTATCTCTATCTATCTATCTATCTATCTATCTATCTATGTTTCTCTCTATCAATCTATGTATCTATCTATCTATGTATCTATCTATCTATGTATCTATCTATCTATCTATCTATCTATCTATCTATCTATCTATCATCTACCTATCTGAAGAAGAGAGAAAACCCTTCTGGTTGTTCTGTTGTGCTGGTTCGTGGTCCTCTATTTACTAGATGCCATTGCTATATGCTGGCTTATCAGTATTGGCTTATGGAGGCTCTGCTGTGGTTGTGTACTGATGTTAGATGTTTGCAGGTAGGTATAATAGTGGGCAAAGGTTTTAAAATTCTGTTATATTTTTGATTGTTATGTTTATTAATAGGGTAGTCTTTGGCTTCTTTACAGTAGGACAGTTTGACTCTTAGTTCTTAACTTCTTACTGGCTCAAGAATATAATATGTGCAACTACTTTGAAGTCTTCTCCCAATTGTAAGGTTCACTTTAAGATAAGATAAAAGACAGTATAATCATAGCTCTGGTAGCAGGGTGACCTAGGGCTGAGGCTTCAAGATGTGGGCAGATTTGGAGCGATCGAAGGTGAATTGGTGCCCTCTAGTGGTTGAAACTATT